TTTTTTTGTTCCCCGTAGTCTTCCAGGATGGAGTAAGAAGATTAGCGTCAGAGCTGTGGGAGAAGGCTTACTGAGTCCAAAGACGTGGGATGTCTCACTAAGTTTTAAAAATAACAGCATGCACTTGTTTCAACTAAACTTGAGGGAAAACCAAGTGCAGAGGGAGCAGAATAATTTAAAATGAGTTTAGATTCTTTGAAATTGGAAAGCATATTATGTTCAAGACAAGTCAGGAAACAGGAACATTGGAAACCCTGAAGACTTCAAAACAGTGGCCTGGAACAAAAGTTCTCCACGTGGGACAGAGGGAATCTCTTATTTTTAACCTTGAAAAGCACCTAATTTCTTAAATGACAAAATGCTCTTGGAAGAAATGCATAAAAAAAGAAAACACAAGGTGACATCCAAGAGGCACACAAATAGAATGGGGCTCACTTGGGAGGCATGTCCTGCTCCCCCAACCCGGTCTCCCCAGTGCTTCTGGCAAACATTGAAGGAAAAGGAGTACCAGTCCCTGTCTAGTCTTAAGGTTTTAGATAGATCCCAGATAAACCTCCACGGGGCTCCTGGGAAGATGAGAGAATGCATCTCTCCTCCCACCGAATAATCAAAGCCACATTTCTCCTTGCTGAGACCTTAGTGACACAGCACTGCTACTTATGAATAGGGCAAATGGAAGGGCAGACCTGACCCACATTTCCTCTCTCAATGAAACGTGGCTACTTTTCTCAGGAAACATCAGAGACAGCCCTTGAGACAACAGTTTATTCAGTTGGAGAAAAATTGAGGGTCACCTAAGCATCCCCTCTAGTATGAATTCCATCAGAGATAAATTTAAATTGTAGTGAATTTTTAAAAGTTGCACATAATAAATACATTTAACACATCTTTTTCTTTTTGTAAACATATGATTTTTGAAAAAGAGATAAATGCAATTTGCATTTTTTAAAAACAAAAAAAGAAACCAATCTCTAAATTTTGTGTGGTTAGATAAATGCCTGGCTTTACATTATTGACTATAAAGACAGTTTCTAGCGTGATTAAATTATTTTCCAAACTAAGGAAAAAAAATTAAAGACTGCCATTGGAGAAAAAATGTTATAGTTTATTTAGATTACAAAGGGATATGGAAGAAAAATATGAAGAAGTATATGGTTTTTTTCCTAACTGCACTCCAATATGGTAGCCAGTAGTTACAATATTTAAATTCAGATTTAGATAAATTAAAGTTAAATAAAAATGCAGTTTGTCTGTTGTTTAAGCTATTCATCAAATTCCAGTAGCCACTTGTGGCCAGTGGCTAGAGCAAGTGGAGAACACTTGCATCTTTTTAGAAGGTTATATTGGAGAACATCAATGTGGACATCTTCTAATGATTTTACAAAATTTTATTTTCTATCATGATGTTGATGCTGTATTCACTTCCTATTGCTGCTATAACAAACTACCAAGAACTGGTGGCTGGAAACAACAGAAATGTTTTCTCACAGTTCTGGGGACAGAAATCCCAAATCAGGTCTACGCTCCCTCTGGGGGGTTCAAGGCAGACTCTGCTCCTTTCTCTCTTCCTGCTCCTGGTGGCTGCCCACATCCCTTGGTTTGTAGCCATTTCACCCCAGTCTCTGCCTTGAAGTCACAGCCTCCTCCTTTCATGCCTATTTCTTATCAGGATATAAGTAATGGAATTTTAAGCCCCCCTGGAAAACGCAGGCTGTTCAAGCCATGGTGAGACTCTTAGTCACACTTATGCACTCTGTTATACAAGAATTAGGTCCTAATGTCTTAGGAGACACTGTCTAGCCTACTACAATGTTATCTTTCAATTTCTTTTTTATTTTAGGATGTCAATTTATCATGTACTCCACTGGTATCTATTGGTACAAATATTAATACAGTTTTCCAAATACACTAGAAATATCTGCCTTCCTATTTTGTTTCAGTTATTTACCCTTCCAATCTGAGGACTTTCAAAACTTACTGTTGATGAGAAAAACCCATAAGAGCATTCACTCTGCATTTTACAAAACCACTTGCAGTGATTATAGAGCACACTGTCATATTTCAAGTCTCCCACTACAATGGGTAAACTTTAAAACAATACCAAATGCCTGAATCCTTGGAGCAACAGGAATTCTTATGCACTGTGAGAATCTGAATCAATACAACCACTTTATAAAAATGTGTCATTTGTGGCAAAGGTTGAAAAAAAAATATATATATATATGCTATTGGCTAAATACCTTTTCTAATATTTGTAACAATTCTATAGAAAAATTTTATATATATAATATATATATGTGCTATTTGCTAAATACCTTTTCTAACATTTGTAACAATTCTATAGAAAAATTCATAGTAATTCTATAGAAATACCCCCAAACCGAAAAGAACTCTAATGTTCATCAATATTAAATGAACAAATTATGGCAAAATATTTACCCAAAGGGATAATATTAATGAAAATAAACTAATATTTTTTATACAACAACATGGATATGTCTCATAAATACTTGTAGAAAAGAAATAAGATACAAAATAATGCATATTTTATCATTCCATCTGTGTGAAATAAGAGAAATAAAAGATAATTCATAATAATCATGAAGTTTTATCTTCAAGAAATAGTAAGAACTGGGCCTGATCAGAGCCCCTGGCAGCTGTGTGAGCCTGTAGTTGCCCTGGGGATGGTCACGTGGGTACCCCCTTTGTTGGATTTAGGGCTTGGGAACAGAAACAGTGAGCTGTAGCACTTTCCCAGACCACCTGGCTTTCCTTTTGGTCCCATCACCAGGCTCTATGCCCATGGGCAAATTTTAACTGTCACTGTTTTATCATAATTAATACCACTAGATTAACTGTATAAATTTGTCTCCCAAAGACCAAGGTTTTCTTATTCCCTGTGCTGTTACTGATATTTAGCATATTTCATGACACTTGAAACGTACCCAATAATTAATTCTTAATACACAGTCCCATATGTCATGGTTTCCATGAAGAATATTACATCTTTTTCATGACTTGAAAGCTGAACATGTTTCTTAGGACAGGTGTCATGCCAATAAAACACCATGTCTCACCCTGGCCACCCCATGATGCTGAGAGCCAGAATATGCAGAGAGATAGTGCTCTGTGTCCATGAGCACCCAGCCCCATGGCAGTGAGGATCCTCATCTATTGCCAGGGCTCTTTTGGGGTTTTTTCCCAAAGACCTAAAACTTCCTCTTGAAAAGCCACATTCTTCTGAAGAAATAAATCTGTCCCTCTATGTGTTATATCTGCTATGATAATGTTCATTATAAAATGAACACCTATGGAATTTTTAGATAATACCCATGGTCCTTTTATTATAATCTGCTAAGTTTGCACATCATCATTTTGCCTATGAATTAACAAAAGATTATTCAGTACCATTATTTTGCCAATCTCTGTAACTAAATTCTCATAGACATTACGGATTTATGTATTATTTATATAGAATGTTGTGTTCCCTTAGTTTTAAAAACCTTGTGAAATAGAAGAGTTTTCCATTTTCTGGTTATAGTGAACTTCTGTGTTTATGGGTCTATAAGAACTGGTAGTAAAAAATCTAATAAGAAAATCCTTGCAAAAATCCTGATATCCCAATTCCCTGCCCTGCTCCTACCCAATATTCTTCCTTCCCTGGCTGATCAGCAGAACAGGGAAAAAGATATTTCCTGGGAGCAGAAGAAAATATTTTACTGGAAAATTCATAATATGAAGCCAGTGTTTGCAAGTAATGTGTTTACAGACTGACTTTGTATTTTCTAGTGGCTTCAAGAAATGTAAGCAATTTTTAATTTGGGGTTGGTATTGCCTTCACAGGAAGAAAATAAGCAAAGAAAAACTCCTCCCTAGAAGAATCTACCACCAGTTTTGTTCTTAAAGAAGTTCCTCAGCTAGAGTTTTGACAAACTTGAGGTCAGTCAAGATGGATAAGCAGAAGACTGTGGACAGGAATAAATTGGAGGATAAAAGGAAGAAGAGAGGGTCAGAAAGAAGGAGAGGAGTGGGAAAAAGAGTGGGAAAGAGAGAAGAGGAAGGACAAAAACGAGGAAGAGGAAATCAAATACAGTAGCCTCTCCCTCATTTGTTGAGTGCTTTTTTGCAGTTTCAACAACCCAAGTTCAATTGAGGTCTGAAAATATTAAATATTAAATTCCAGAAACAACGGATTCATAAGTTTGAGTAACTTTTTTACAGTATATTGTTATCATTGTATTTCCTTAATATTTATTGTCATGAATCTCTATGTCTAATTAATAAATTAAACTTTTACCATAAGTAGGTATGTATAGGAAAAATCTGTCTATATGGTTGGGGTTCGTTACCACCCATGGCTTCAGGCATCCACAGAAGGTCTTGCTACATACCCCTGGAAAAAGGGTGATGGCTACACTACGAACAAAAATAATCAGAGACAACATATAGCAGAATCACAATACCCCAAATCCATATATTGACATCATTGGGAACAGGTATAAAGTATTAAGAAATTTAAAATGTTAAAAGAAATTTATTAGAAGTAGGAGAGAGTTAAAACAAGATTAAGTGAAAACAAACTCTTTGGGGGGGGTGAAAAAATATAGATTTGAAAAAAGGGAAATAAACTAATTGACATAAAAATTGGAAGGGCCACAGCTCAGATTTGGTGGAATGTAAGAAAATTCTTCAGAATGGATCCAAAACTCTTCTCTAAGAGCTACAAAGGTGGGTACGAGCAGAGGTTTTCTCCTTTTAAATATTTCATAAGACTATAGACAATTAATAAGCTTTGTTGTTTTGGACTGCGGAACACAAGTCACTTTCTAAGTCCTTTACATAATGGTATTCTTACATGTGTGTGCAATCGGTTTATTACTACAGTGAAAAACGAGCATTTTTAGTTTATTTTCAGAGAACGCAATAATAAGCAGTTAATGAGAGCCAGATGGCACTCTTGGGGTAGAGGAGCAACCCCGCCCGTGGGCATAGGGACTCACAGTAGGCGCAGCCATACACCTCGACGCGGAGCCCGATGCGGCCCTCTCCGTTCCAGTCCAGTGGCACCATGCGCACGTAGCGGGCGACAACAGGATGCTGCAGGTCATGTCGGACCACGCTGTCAGAGTTGGTGTTTCCAGGAAATGCCTAGGAAAGGAATTAGGATTTAGAAATGTGTGGAAATACTTTAGAAACCCCCATCCTCAATGTGCTAAAAGAAGCTCAAATTCCCATATCCAGCCACACAGGGTCTTAATCTTACATCATAAACAATTAGATTTTTTTAAGAAAGCTCTTCTCTTATTAGAAAACAAGCTGTTTTAAATGAGAAATGGGCCAAGGCTTCCCTGGGTCCTTTTATATATACAAATATATTCCTGTAGAATAAAACACTCTGTGGCCCTCCGGTATCATCAATAAATATTTAAATTGAGTTTCAATATTTTGCTTTTAAATTACACAATATTTTTTAAATAGAATCTATTCAACCTTGTTTGTTCCTTTAAAAAAACCTTTTCCACATGACCTTCCTATGCCCATCCTAGAAATCTGAAGATGACATCATTTTAACATAAGATAGGAGAAGGACAGTTGAACATGTGAAGAGGTCTAGGTTTTCTAACTTTTATTGGAATAGACATATTTATAGGATTTGTTCAGTGAGTCAGAACCATGTTTATTTCATTTTTCTCATTATAGTAGATTCTGTCAAAATAGTAATGTTCCGTGGATCTTATCTGATGTGGAAAGTTCATATTAGCTTTTCTTTCCCCAGCAGGGGATAAATGGGTTCCCTTGGGAGCATAGATAGCATCCTTTCCACAAGCACTGGTAAGACATCTAGTACCTAATTGATATGGAGCAAGATCATACGGAGCACACAGGGATGTGTGGAACCTTATAATCTACCCTCACAAAGATTACAATCTAATAACATGAAAATCACAGTATTAAATCATAAACCAAGGAAGATTTAAGGCAAGTGGCCATTATAGTTCACAAGACTCAAGTCAAATAAATGAAAACTCATGCTAACCAACTGTTTTAACTCCATAGATGCATCCTAGCTTCCCCTATAATAGATGACTTCAGTTGGTTAATGCTGGCTTCAGCATGGGATTGTCACTTATTTTTCTTTAAATTATCTCTTAAACATAGGAATAAAGATTTAAAATAACAAGATTTTACGTGGGTGATGCTATGTACATCACATTATACATTACAATGCTCGTCTGTTGTACTCTCAACCCCTGGAACTGAGTTTTCTTATATAGAAAACCTTTTTTACCTTTTAAAAATTTATCCTTTATAATATTTTTAAAGATAAAATATGAATAAGAAATAACTAGAGATTCTTTGATAAAATTCCAGAACAACTTTGAACTTGAATGCTCTGGATTGCAAGACAAAAAACAGAAAAGCAAATTTTTCATGTGAGATTTACTTCCCAATTTGCAGCACTTGCCAGTCATACTTGTGTATGGCATAGGCCTAGTAATCATAAGGAGTGCACTGAAATATTCCTCAAGGCTGAAATGATTTTGTATAACCTTTATATGTTTCCAATAGTCTACAAAATGGGCACTATTTAGTCTATGGCATGGCAGTTATGTTAAAGATAAGGGTGCTTTTCCATGAAGACTCCTATAGACATGTTGCATGTTACTTCCACATCTTAGAAATAGCCAAGCCTTTCTTCAGTCCTTCCCCAGACAGAACTATTTGAACAGTAGGTCTTGAATTTTGACACTTAAGAGAGAAACCCCTTGGCATTTTGCTGACAAAATTAGTCCTAAAATAGCCCACATTTTATAAAATATTTTTTTCTTTTTTTCTATGTTTTTTCCTAACAAACTTCCAGCTTACAAAGATTCCTCAAATTGAATCATCCATATCCATATTTTAATCTCTATTGAGTGTGCTGACTTCAAAGGCAAGAACAAGAATCACTAACCAAAATCATCTGAGTTCAATTCATGATTGCATATAGATTAATTTAAAACTTATCATTCTAAAAAATATTTAACAAAAGTTATCAATTTAAGTTGAAAATGCATGATATGCTTAGCATATTACTAAATTTACTAGTAACATTAAAAACAACAGCATACTCCTTTGGGATTCTGTTCCTGAGACATGTAATTGTCTGAGGCCTAAAATAAAATATGAAAGATCTTGCAAAAGTCAGTGTTAAAAGGAACTACAGATGTGCATGATGTAACTAGTGACTTCACTAACATTTGGAGTTCTGTGTTGGCTGTGTAATCAGGCCGACTCTACGGAGAGTTGAAGCTCAGCTGCATGGGGATGCAGAGTAGAGCTTGAGGGATCAAGTGGGATGTAGTGAACAGGTAAAGCAGGAAGAGGCAACTCAAATCACAGATTGAAGACACAGAGTCTAGTTCCAGTTGTGCTGAAATTTTGCTCTGTGCGGGTAAATTCTCTAAGCCTTAAAACGCTTTATCTTTCTTCACATATAGATCTAATCTCCCATATAGTCTTCCCCAAAGACTCAATGAGCTTATTTGTAAAATCCGTTTTAGAACTGATTGTGAACTCTCTGAAAGCATGAACCAAAGAGTCCTTGGGAGTTGGCAATAAGAGAACATGTAGCTGACTCAACAGGCACCCATGCTGGAAAATCACATCTCTCTAAATAGGGAGAACATAATTTGCCATGCATTTTTTTTTTTTTTACTTTTTCAAATACATGACAATAAAATTCATTTCTGAGATTGTGGGTGTTGGGAGATCATAATGGGGACAAGAGGACTCCCCAAAAGGAATTGTAGGCCAATGTAAATGTGATAGTATGGGCAAAAAGGAAAATAAAAAAAAATTGATATGGTATTAGAATCAATAGCAAGATACTAGTAGGAGAGAAGAACAAAGTATTCCAAGGTACTCGTATACAGGCATTCATGACAGAGAAAGGGAAGTGAGAGTAACATGGTGAATGCCTCCAGCTTCTTTTACTTTGAGTAGCACCAGGATTTTCTTTTAAAATTTCACTCTTGATATTTTACTCTCAATCCATGTGAGTCTGAAGCAGTGGCCATGACTCCCTAGCACAAGGGTAGGCACCTAATTTGCTGAGACTCAATTGTAGCACTTCAGCTTAAATGATTCCTTCATTTATTTACCCATTCACTTATTCCCTCACTCAATCAGGAGATATGTAAGTGCCCACTGTGTCCAGATACTGGTCAAATCACTGGGGATACCATCATGAAAAATATAAGCCGAGTTCCCATATATATACAGATATATGTGTGTATATAAACACACACACACACACACACACACACATATATATATATGTATATATATATATAATTATATAATACATAATGATAACATATTTATGTAAATATTATACATTGTGTGGTGTATATTTATTGTTATTTATTTACTATACATCTATTACTGACATAACATGGACTGATGATGTTACAGTTCTCACATTCCAAACATTCCACATTCCTGCATTAATACAAGAGCTTCTGGGAGACATCTCATATCCTAACCATATAGTGTGTGTGTGTGTGCGTGTGTGTGTGTGTGTGTGTGCGTGTGTGTGTGTGTGTGTGTGTGTATTATGTAGTATATGCAAAGACTAGAAAGGGAAAGACCCTGAGCATTCTGGGCATGTTTTTAGGAGGTAGCAAGAAAATACTGTTGCTGGAGCCGAGAGAAGGAGGGAAAAGGTGGGGAGATGCAGAGGTGACAGCCAGCGCAAGGAAGACCTACGGACCATGCCAACATTGCAGATTTCATTTTAAGCATGCTGGACGGAAATCCACTAGAGAGTTTTAAGCAAGGAAATTACACATCTTAAAATTTTCATGATTGAAAGTACTAAAATTCCACTCCCCTAGTGAAGGGAAGTTCCCAGGGGAATAGTTGGAGAGGATGTCATAATAGGTAGAATAAGAGCTGATGGAAGAATCTGTTACCGAAAGCTTCAGAAGAGTGGGATAAGGTGGGGAGGTGAGAGCAACAATGCTGTGTATGGAAGTGAGAGCGAAGGGAGGGCATCAAGAAGCCACCACATCCTGGGATCCCCAAAGTTCAGGTTTGCAGAGGAAAACTGTAAGGAAGGAGACTCTCGTCCCACTAAGCTCAGTCGGCCATGGTCATCCCAAAAGGGTAGAAGTCAGAGAAAGATAAAGTTGGTACATCTGTGATGACAGCACTTGAGCTCCTATATACAGAGTTTGCTGAAGTGCATGCACTTCCGGGCTTTTTGACTATTTGATCAGTTTCCTTATTTTCTTGTTTAAGCAACTGCAAGGGTTTTGTTTTAGTCAGGGTTTGCATTGCTGTGAACAAAACATCTGACAAGAATAATCTAGAGGAGGAAAATTTATTTGGTTCAGTTCATGGTTGACCTGCTACATTGCTCTGGGCCCCAGGTGAGGCAGAACATCATGGTGGAGGAAAGATGCTCAGCTCATGGCAGGCAGGAATCAGAAGGAGAAAGGGAAATGGGAAGGGGCCACGGGGAAGATGCACCTTCTAGGGGACATGCCCAGTGACCCACTATTTCTAGCCATTCCCCACCTGCCTAGAGTTACCACCCAGTTAGTGCATCATATTCCAAACATTCCACATTCCTGCATTAATACAAGAGTTTTGGGGAGATACCTCATATCCTAATCATAATAGGTATTGACTAGCAGAAGGATATTTTAAGGCAAAGGTGACTAGTGATGATAACATATTGCATTTGAGATTTCACAATCAGATGAAAGATGACAGAGAATTTGTGATGTTTAGTATAACAGTGTTTTATCTTTGTTTTAGCTACTCAGAAAGGGCACATTTACTAGTTATGAACAAATGTACTTAAATATGACATTTTCTTCAGGATTCACAGCATCAATTGCTGGTTCTTTTTGCACTGCTTTTCATAATGAAGTATATTTTGAGATTTAAGACATTATCCTAGTTGAAGTTTTAAACATGCCATAGAATGGTGTGTTTCTGCTCCTTGTCTTGAATACAAAGTTGTAAATAAATGTAAAACTGTCTTCTTTGATGCAATAATATTTGGAAAATTAAAAAAAAGCCAGAAGGTGCAGCTTTGTATTTAATAAAACATTGAATATGTATACATTATTATTAAAAGGGTTCTAATAATAATG